GTCAGAACAAACACATAGGAAATATTTTTCCTTTAGTATATTTAGCTCTTTTATGACAAAAGTAAGTTGTTTTTAAGAAAGAAGATGCTGTTTTTATGCAAGCTTACTTTAGAAGTACCAAATTTCTACTTGAAAAAGCCCAAGCAAACCAAACAGAAAAGAGAAATCCTATTAATGTGCAGCATCCCCATGAAACTACATCTGCCTTAAGACACAACCTCTTGCACAGAGCTAGGATTGCCTGCATGTAGGCAGAATTTGGCTCTCAAGTTAACATTTCCCTGCATTAGGATTTTTGCTGTAAAATAATACTTCGTCTACTTCTACAGTATAATTTACTCAGTGTGATCAAATACATGGTGCAAAACAAAAATATACACACACATATGCACAGCACTCTTCAGTTCTTAGTATCCTGCTAGGTTCTCTATGCTGGTAAAAATCTCACCTGGTGGGATGTCTGTGTTGGACAGGAGCCTGTGGACAAGCACAATACAGAGATCAAAGATGCCCAGCTGGTACCTGGAGGCTGCACCCTCAGTCAGTTCTGCTTCTCCTCCTCTTGCTCCTGGCAAAACCTTTCCCTGTTCTCTGACCCCAAAGACATGGCAGCCCCGGCAGGGAGAGCTCTGCCTTTGTACTCCCAAGGCAGAGACTAACGAGATGCTGCACCTGTGCACTTCACACAGGTGGTTTTAATTTGGAGACAGAATACATTTAAAGGGACAAAGTCTTCCCAGAAAAAAACACCCTAATCAAACAAATCTATCCATCTAACACAAGACAACCAGACTTTACCAAGCTGCTTTCATGCAAGTTCTTGACAGAGATGTTTTGCAACATTTTGACAGGCTGAGGAAGTTAGGGCTGTTCAGCCTGGAGAAGAGAGAGTTGCTTGGAGACCTCATAGCAGCCTATCAGTATCTGAAGGGGCTGCAAGAAAGCCAAAGAGGGACTCTGCATCAGGAACTGTAGTGATAGGACAAGGAGTAATGGGTTCAAACTGAAAGAAGGTTGATTTAGATTAGGTATAAAGAAGAAATTCTTCACTGCGAGGATGGTTGTCTGGGAAGAGTTCGAGGCCAGGCTGGATGGGGCATTGAGCAACTTAGTCTAGGGGCAGGTGTTGGATGTGATTGATCTTTAAGGTCCCTTCCAACCCAAATCATTGTTTTTTGAAATATGCACATGCAGCTGTAATTTCCAAAACTCATGCTGAAATCCCTTGCTGCTTTGCCATTAAAGAGGGAGAACCAGCCCTCAAGGGCTGTGCCTATTAGACTACTCTTTGGTGCCACCAAGCCAGTGTAACTCACACCCAGCCTTGTAACCTTTGTGTGTTGAACACCAAGAAAAGGGTGGGTGGGGTTTTTTTTTTGGCAGTGCAGACTGGTAAACCTGTGATGCAAATATTTTGACAGCTTAGTCACTGCAGCTCCTGTTCTAGTGAAGTGTCTAGAGATTGATCCCTATGTCTCGGTGGGTGGAGTGAAGAAGGGGTTGGGAATAGGAAAAAAAAAAGATTGTTTGCCAGTAATAGGAATTAATTAATGTTTGTAAAGTGCTTTGAGATGAAAAGGAGTACATGGACCTAAATAATATTAAATAATTGAAGCTCTCCAAGTCAGTGGATCATGGAATAGCATCAGGGATTTTTACTGGCTGTGTATCTGACTCTGAAGCTTGTTTTGCTTCTATCTGACCACTTGTGAAACAGTCTTGAAAACCCACCCACCAGAGTAACCAACAAAACCAGTGAACAAGAATGGTTGGTAAGGCCATAGGCACAAGTGTGGGAGTTTTGCCTCATGTACAAAGCTGTTTCAGGTCAAACATTCTGTAAAATACACAGGAAATTAACACTCATGCACCAGGGGATTAAATTCTGACCTCATATTAATGTCACTTCCTAAAAAGTACACCAGCCCTGAAGTACATCACTGTGAACCTCATTGGAATATCACCAAAGAAATTACCATCACTGCAGTGAGTGCCACAGAGGAACAAAGCAAGTGCAGCACCAGCAGTCCCAACTGCTCCAGTCACCTGTAAAATAGCAACACTACCTGGAGCCAAAGTTTACAAATCCTCCAGCAGAGACTGCTTTGAGCAACAAACCATGTGCACTTGTGAAGAAATACTGTGGCACAAACTTCAGTGCTACTGGGCTGCAAAGTCAGTGGGTGCAGTCTGACAGACTTTCTGTTTGGGGGTTTTATTAAGGTGTTTGCTGCAGCAGTTCCCTGTTGTACTGGGGTCAAACTGCCCCAGACATCAGCAGTTACAGGATGGAAAACTGGCAGAAGCTCCATAAACAAAGGATAACGATCAGCAGTGAAGTGTTGGAGGAGGTGAGAGAGGCTGAGGGACCCAGAAAACCTAAATAAAATAGAGGCACAAAGCAGCAAAAGGGGTAGTTAAAGGAAGGGGCACTCCCTGGCCATGGAACTACATGGGAATAGTTCGCTCAGTTCTGTGTCTCTCAACAACCACACATGGAACATGAGAAGTAAATTTTATGTGACAGTGTCAGGTGTTAAATACTGCCACAAAATGAGATGAGTCTGTGTGCCTGAAGGAAATAATCTACACGAGATGACGAGGCTGGATGTGGCACTTAGTGCCATGGTCTAGTAACCATAGTAGGGCTGGAGATGATGCTCTCGGGGGTCTCTTCCAACCTGCTGATCCTCTGATTCTCCCCCCGAGCCCCAGGGACACTGCACTGCGCCCGCGGCCGCCGGCAGAGAGCGGCACAGACCGCCGGCAGGGACAGCATCCCGCTGGAGAGACAGCTCTGTAAAATCTGCGACACTAAGGCCAAGGACAGAACATGGGGAAGCTCTGATGAAACACAAAGGGAACCACTGAAATGGGAGCTGAGAGACTCTGGGAGCTCACAGTGCCCTGGACAAGGTGAGAACTGCAGGTGCCTTCCAAACTGAACTGTTGTGATTCCTCAAGGCTTTCTAAAGGTCAGTAAGCAGCTGATTGAAGCTCAAAGATACTGATAAAAAAAGTCAAAACCCCTTCCCTGGGAAAACACCTTCCACAGTCTGAACCTCGAATGTCTGTATTCAGTCCAAGGGAAATAGACACAGCTAATAGGGTAGCTTGAGCTTTAAATAAAATTTATTGATCCTCTTTGTATGAAGTTGTCATTAGAAGTTATACTTTATACAGTTAGATTTGGTAAACTCATGAAATAGCAGCTGTTTTTAAGGTGCCAAATTCTTGAATTGGAGAAAGTTCATCCCTGATTTATATTCATCAGTATTTGCCATCAAGGAGGTGACCAGAAGATCCTGTCTAGGGGATGAGAGCAGATGTATGCTCTCTTCTCCAGGATTTGCTTTGCAGCTTTTTAACACAGTCATCCAGGTTTTCATCGGCGCCCATGGGGAAACAGAAGCAAAGTCAAAGTACCATAAATAGCTGTTCTACAGTTCTTTCAAGAAGTGTTTTAGAATACAAAGGCAAGTCCCTGCACTTGAGTGTCAGGAAGGAATGTGACATTCTCTTCTAAAAAAATGAGTTTCAGAAACTCAGACTGAGCTTCCCAGAGCCAATGCTCAGCTGGTCAGTAATTCCCCAAATAGGACAAATCCCTAATTTCTATCAGTTTCTTTACAGGAATATTTGGTAAGGAGTTTGGTTTAGCCAAGAAAGGAAGAGATTGTTTTCAACTTGTGCCAGCTCTGTTCCTTGTTTGAATTAAAAGCACAGCAAAATTGCTCTGTTGGTCACATCAGACCCACCTACTTTTGATCACAGTCTGCAAAAGTCCTAAGTGTAAAAAATATTTGACTTACAGTTTTCTAATCGAGCCATGGCATAATTATGCTCCAGCAATAACAGCCCGTATGATGTAACTGGAAAAAGAGTAAAAGTGAGTTGAAAACTACTGAATTTCATAAACAAAACAATGCAGTACAAATACAGTAATTTATACTTCTAAAAGTCATTTTGTCTCCTGATAATGGAGCCCTGCACACCAGTCATGTATGGTGCAGCCTTAGCTGACCCTTTGTCCCCAGAGCTGCTGAGGGTCAGGGCTGGGATGACCCTTCACCCAAAACTGACCAGAAGACCGATTGGTGATCAATTCAGAACAGGACACACACACACACACAGTGAAGTCTGAAGGCCAAATCCAAAGGTTAATCAGTTTGGATTTGTCTAACGCTTAATTGCAGCAAATTTACTTGTCCACGAAACTTTAAATGAGCTGCTGTGCAATCACTTTGCAGCTATTAATCGTACTGACAAAACATTGTTGTGCCTATGTGTTAGTATTAATGATTAGATGGAAAGACTTTGGGAAGAACTGCATGGTATTAGGAGGTTTAAGAGAATGTGCAAATTTGTAATAGCTTATAAATGTCTATGTATATGTCAAAGAAGTATTTTTCACATGTTGATAGTGTGCAACTCAGCACTCAGAGCCCCTGAGAGGCAACTGGCCACTGCACTCTAGCACCAGTTGGTTTGGCAGCATTTTAGTGCACTGTTGGCTTTACCAAGACTGTCCTCCACAGCAGGGCTCAGAGCTGGCAAGGCTCAGCACCAAGGGTAGAGCTGCTGGCACACCTTGGCTGGTGGTACCTGTGCCTCCACGTACCACCAAGCAGGGGATGCTCTGGGCAGGTTCCCTGGTCAGGAGCTGGTGCCAGTGTGTCTGAGTTTCTAGGGCAATCTCATCTCCCACTCTTTCTCCTCCCCACCTTGCTTTGCCTCTGCCCATAGCTCTGGGCACTGCTCTTGACCAGGAAGGCTCAGTTTGAGCCAGCATGGGCTCCATTCCCAGCAGCTCCCCAGGAGAAGGTGCAGGCATTAAGAGGCCAATTAATGAATGGGACAGCAGCACAACCCTCAGCAGAGTTACTTGGCTAACCACTAACTTGGTGCTTCACAGCATCCTGACTATGAGTCAGGCTACGAATGCTCCAAGCAGCTTTGAAGGAAGCTGTGTTGGAAAAAGAATGACTTACTCTTTGTTCTCATACAACTTCTGGAACACGGTACAGCAAATGCATATGAGAAGTGGCACGACAAAAATCAACACCACAAAGACTATCATGCAGGTCCTGGGTGTGTCCGGGGGGCAGCGAGCAGGTACCGTGGGCCGTGGAGTCTGAGCATGTGGATTGGGAGCACGTGGACTGGGAGCACGTGGATTGGGAGCACGTGGATTGGGAGCACGTGGACTGGGAGCACGTGGACTGGGAGCACGTGGACTGCGAGTGCGTGGACTGCGAGTACGTGGACTGCGAGTACGTGGATTGGGAGCACGTGGACTGGGAGTACGTGGATTGGGAGCACGTGATCTGGTTTCACTGACCACATCTGCGGAAGCAATTCGGAGCGTTAGCCCATCCGGTGCACCACTGCTGGGCTTGCAGCACGCTGGGCATGGCCAGGCTGCTTCCCTCAGTGCTGCTGCCTGGAGCCACACTCTGCCCCTTGGGACAGGCTGTCCCACCAACCAAACCCAGCAGGCTGGGAGGAGAGCCCGGGGGGAGCACAGCTGCTTGAGCAGCCACTCCTTCGAGGGACACAGACAAAAACCCATCCCTGCAGCAGGCAGGGGCACCCTGACCCTCCCTGCCCCAAGACAGCTCCCACTGCCCAGGAGTTAGGTCTTCTCAGGAGACACTTGAACCTTACTCTCCCCATCTGCCTTTTCCCCAGCATGGGCATCCCTTGCAGCCACTCCCAGGTTTTGGGACATTTGTCTATAGAACATGCTCCAGAGGCCTTGAACCCAAGGCACTTGCACCTTTGGCTGCTGATGTGATGTACAAGAGCTGCTGGCACACAGACACCCCTTGGCTGACACTGCCTGACCACGCCACAGCAATTACCTTCTGTGCCCGGCGTCACGTCGCTTCCCTCAGCAGAGACCGGCAGGGAGCCTCTGCTTCCTTGGGGATATACTGCCTTCTGCACAGCCTCTGCTTCCATCTCTGGAGAAAGCAAGAGGGACAGGTGGATCAGATGGAGTCCTTCCCCATCGGGGCGGTGGCATCTTCAGGATGCAATACTCACCCAAGACACAGATAAGGTTGAGGAAAAGGTTTGGGCTTTTGGGGCTTGCCAGGGCACTCCCTCCTCCAAACAGCAGCAACGCCTGAGCTGCTGGGGGACTGGGACATTGCAGGGGATCTCACGGTTTGCATCGCCCGTGGGGCATGTTGGGCACACTGTAAGGGATGCTAAATGCCTTCAAGCAGAGGCCTGGGAGAAGCTGCAGCCAGGCCTGGCAGGGAAACAGCCCTGCCAGGTGTGAAAGGCAGAGCAGGGAGGCTGTGAGGGATCCCTTCCTGCTGGACAGAACACACTGTGTTCAAACGTGGATCCAAAGCCCCAAACTGCTGAGCCTCCCAGCTAAGGCTGAGGGAGATAGACCCACCCTGCTCTCTCTCCAGTGCTGTCAGCATTTGGTCGAGAAGTCTAGATGACTCCTGGGATTTTTTGTCTCCTTCCCCTTGGTTCTTGCCGATTCCAAGACCTTAACAGAAAGCAGTTGCGTTTCACATGAAGGGACTACAGAAAACCAGTGCTCAGTCTGTGAGGTCAGCAGGGACAGACTACTCCCCCCTGCACCATGAGCTAGGCTTGTGTGGCACATGAGCAAGCTCTTGCTCCATTGTCAATGTTTATTCTTTCAAGGACAAAGGGATGTTGATAATTTACCTCCAGTATTTCCCACAGAATCCAAACCACTATCCATCCTATCTTCTGGTGCTTGCCGGGCACCCTCACCTAGAAGAAGGCACAGATGAGAACCATTTCCACTGTATAATGGGATCCTCTTCTGCCTTAGTAAACCGCAGCACTGCAGAGGGTTCGGCTGCCACGGTGGGATCCAGGTGTCCATGGGCATGGCCAAAGCTGCAGAGAGGCCTGGGGAGCTCTGGGCTGGCTCCTGGCTGATCTCCACACACTCTGTCCTTGCCCTGTGCAACAGCCCTGGAGGAGCTGCTGGACCAGCCTGGGTCCCCTCGAGGCTCTCTCACACAAAAGAAACCCTCACTAAGGCCCTGAGGAAAACCATCCTCTCTCCTTCCAGGGGAGAAGAGCCTGCCCAGGAAAGGGCACACCAGGCTGCCAGCTCACCTGCTCTCGGGACTGGCTTTGCTTGGGCCACTGGGAGGAGAAGGAGGAGAAGGAGGATGAGAACAAGACTCATGGTTCCTCGTCCTCACACCGTCCTCTGCCACTGTCCCTGCTGCTGGTGATGCTCCACTACTGCTGCTGCTGCTGCCAAAACCCTTGTCAGGGACAACAACTGTTGTCAGGGGCTGCGTGGTCAGTCCTTTTGTATGCAGAACCACAGAGCTCTGTGACCTCAGAGCCCTGCTGTGACCTCACGGCCGTGCTAGGGATGTTCCTTGTTAGGTAGACATATATGCAAGCACTCTTTCAGATCACAGGTCCAAACCTTAGAACAAAAAGCTCTGAAAACAAAGCCCCAGCCCTGGCATTCTCTTTCCCCTGCAGCCTGTAAACCACACACACACTCCCATGCTCGAACATTTCTTCTCAGCTCTGCACTGTGTTGCACTTTAGGCCTTGCAGAAACACATGTATATCTTGTAGAGAAAAATGTTCTAGGGCAAAAAGAGTTGCTGGATTAGCCCTTCCTCTCCTCGCAGCTTTGCCACCCACTGTGGGGCTGCACTTTCCTTTGCAGCTATTTTAACACTCCCTTTTTCACTCTTGCTAGACCATTGCTCCGTAAATTAAACCCTCCAGCAGCAGCTCCCAGACAAAAGGTGCAGTAAAAAAAGTCTCTGAAGAGATGGAGCAATGCAAAAACTGCCTCAGTCCTGTGCTTATTTCTGTGCCAGAGGCAGAGACACTTCGGACACGGCGAGACTGAAACGGTTTCTGTCCTGAGTGTGCACACACTTTGAGTATCGCCCGAAATCTGTGTCTAAAGGAGGAGGAAATTACTGATCATCACGGTCTGTCTGCAGTACACAGACCCAAAGGGGAGGTGAAAGCACCAGGTTGTTTTTACAGGCTGCAAAGGGTTCTGCATATGCTGCATAATATGTCTAGAGAGCAGAACGGTTTGGGGATTGTCTCAGTTGCCAAGGAACAGTACTCTCCATTGTCACACATGTAAAATCGAGGAGAAAAAGCACAACCCTGTACCAATTGAGAAAGACACAGAGTGCTAAAGACTTAACATGGCCTTGTCTGATTCACATATTCAGAGTTACATGGGAAACAACAGCAGCAATAGTAGTGAGAGACATAATTTTAAAATTACATTACATTGAGATTTATGTTACTGGAGACAGATAAACCCTTCAGATAAGGGTTTGTACAGGAGGTGAAATTGCACCAGTGTCTGGGAATAGTTACAAGAACCCAGTAAAGGCTCACCTCAAGTTTTTGGGACACTGAACATTGAAAGAATTATTCTCCTCCCTCTGGGTGTTTCTGATGCTTTCCCTTTAGAAGATTAAGCTTCTTCTTTCTTTTAAGGTGTTTTATATACTTGACTCATTTAAGTAACAACCTCATGTAAAATACGTATTTTTCATACTTATAAGTGGAGAAGTGCAAAGTAAGCTATGGATTTTATTTTGGTTTAGGGTATATTGATAGCACTGTAAGCTCCTGTAGGATTTCTGGCCAATTTAGCAGCCAGCATTTCATTTAGGGAGGTTTCTTCCAGAAGACAAAGGAAGATTACTTCAGCCAATTCCATAACAAGATTTTACATATTTAAGAGGAACTGAAATAGCTATTAAAAAACCCCAAAAGGATGCAATGCAATACAACTCTGGTTTCTGTCTGATATTTCCTTTCCCTTTTCCCCTTCTCAGCATGAGCCATGCTGCATTTGCCTTCCAAATGACACATTTGTTTGTTCTCCCTGTTATATAACCATTTCTAAAGTTTTGTTGAGTGTTGTGACACTTTCACCAAGCTTTTTCCTGCCCCTGATGAGCATTAATTGAAGTGAAATGCAAACCAGACAACTGCCACATATTTCTGGCCTCCTTGAACAGCTTCCCCTGTGATCGATTTTTTCAGTCCCATTTCTGTGTTTCTCTACTGAACAATATTAGCCTTTTTACCTCAGTTGGGTTCCTTGCTGTGATCACAACCCTTCTGGAAATACACCTGTTAGAAATTCCTGTAACTGAGGGAAACATCCCACTGGTAACTTGATTTATTTTTTTTAAAAAAATACAACTGGGCTCTGTTTGAGGATATGTTTCAAGTGCAAACACATGGGATATGCACCTGATTACACTGAGGTTTTTAAGGATATCAGCATCAGCAGCTCAGGTTAAACCTGACTCACATTAGCAAGGACAGCCCTGAGAACTTGCTGGTTTTAAGATGAGTTTAGGGATTTAGGATTTGTCCTGTTGTTGCAGGCCAAGGGACTGTTTAGTTAAAGCTGCTTGTCTGCCTAGATTTGATTTTATTTTTTGCATTATTTATTCCTCTTTCCCACTTTGCAAAGAAAAGGTAAGAAAGGGAGAGAGCTCTAATAGCTGACAAATTACTTCTCACCTCTTCTCTAGCTCAGGCTTGAGAATTTTTCTCCTGTGGTCTGTTTTGATAAATAATTCCTGCTTTATCACCTCTGTTGTTCTCAAAGGGAAACAGCCCTGCAAGGGGTGAATAAGTTAAATAAATGAAATCATAATCATCAGCCTAAAAGATTAAACCCCTTTCCTTAATATTACCCTTATGTCAGGTTTTCCTAGGAAGAAACTTTTTACACTCAATGCTCTAAAACAACAAACAGAGAAACTGAGAACTATTTCTTCCTTGTTTTCAAGGAATGACATAGATTCTGGTAGTTTATCTTGCAGAACACATCCCAGACAATGACCCAAGTGCTCACTAAGGAAACAGCAGTGTGGCACTAGCAGCTCTCAGAGCACAGCTGCCAAGCTGGGCTGGGATGCACTTGTTCCCATTGGAATTGCTTAGCCCCTCCCAGCTGGACCAGTGCAGAGCAAAATGCGAATTAGACTCTCAAAACAAAGTCAGCAAGTCCACAACTTAACAGGCACACAAAAGTCTCTGCTTCT